CTCATATAAATAGATTTATTTGCCATCCTGTTTCTGGGGGTCCCTGCTGCCGTAAATTTTTTATTTTTTTAAAAAAATCATGATATATTGCTCTTTTCCTGCCACGTCCATCTGTTAGTAGATGGCAGTTTGGTGGGATATGTCACCTGCACCTCTTCCTTCCTTCCCTTTTTAATTTTCACTTCTTGATTCCTTTCTCCACTTTGTTTTGCTTCCCTCTCCCTTTCCTTCTCTCCTCCTCCCCTTTTCCATTCCCTCCTTTACTCACTCATCCCATTTTCCTTATTTCCCTGCATATCTCTCCCTCTCAGTTCTTGGCTTTCATTTTTCTTTCCTCTTTTGAACAGTGTTGGGAGGAGGAAGCAGGTATTAAAAGACTTGCAAAGTATTGTGAAGAGTAGGGATTTAAAAAAAGAAAGAGGATACTAATGCAATACCCATATCTCCCCTCAAACAATTCACAACAGGAAATGTTCATTTCTCTGCTCAAGCCCTCTTTCCCCTTTCCTTTCTTGCACCTGCAGGGGGGGGAGGCTGTCTACTTCTGAGAAATGTATTCATGTTGTTTGTCAGCTACAAGCAATTTATCAATATCCCTTAATTTTATAAAAAGGTACAAGCACAACAGCCATGAAGTGGCCACAGCACCCAAAACCCTAATCCCCTTCACAAAGTAAATAGCAAGATTCACACAGGCTAGAATAATCAGGATTGAAGTGATACGTAATCAGTATATTTTAAATCAACCTGTTGGTGAGGAGGAAAAAAACAGATTGGCTGGCCAAATCAATCAATCTTACGATACGTAATCAGTACATTTTAAATCAACCTGCTGGTGAGGAGGGAAAAAAACCAGATTGGCTGGCCAAATCAATCCATCTTACCTGTGTGCCATGTGAACAGAAATTTATAACTGTTTATCGGATTGAAGTGATACGTAATCAGTATATTTTAAATCAACCTGTTGGTGAGGAGGAAAAAAACAGATTGGCTGGCCAAATCAATCAATCTTACCTGTGTGTCATGTGAACAGAAATTTATAACTGTTTATCAAACAATTTAAATAACATCAGAATTAGGTTCTTTGGGCATATGTCCTTGAGTCCTAAAGTGATGCCTGCCATCCACAGATGATACGTAATCAGTATATTTTAAATCAACCTGTTGGTGAGGAGGAAAAAAACAGATTGGCTGGCCAAATCAATCAATCTTACCTGTGTGTCATGTGAACAGAAATTTATAACTGTTTATCAAACAATTTAAATAACATCAGAATTAGGTTCTTTGGGCATATGTCCTTGAGTCCTAAAGTGATGCCTGCCATCCACAGAACCTGTTAGAGCACTTATGGAGGAACTTTCCAAATTAACTGCTTGATTAGCCAAATTAATTAGCAGCAAAATCCCATGTACAAAGACTTCCAGGGAAGTTCTAGTGAGTTCCGTGCTCATAGAATCTCAAATTCTATGAGCACAGGAGTAAAGCATGTATGGTGCAGGACCATTAAACCAGTATACTCCACACATGCACACACAAACACACATAGACACACACTTCACCCTTATCTACAAAAGCAACAGCATTCAGGACCTGCCTTCTTACAATATGGGAGTTGCTTCTGAAAGCCACTTCATCTTGCAATCACCAATGGAGAAGCATCGTTGTGAAGCAATTTCCCCACCTGAAAAGTGGGGAAAATGTTCATCCATCTTTCAAGCCTTGTCAGATGGGTCTGACAGGCTAAGAAGAAAATTAAGTCCTTCTTGAAAAAAAAAAGCTTTGCACTGGAGATTCCACAATGACAGCTAGAAATATGGACTGAAGGAGATGGAATCTTGCAATCACCAATGGAGAAGCATCGTTGTGAAGCAATTTCCCCACCTGAAAAGTGGGGAAAATGTTCATCCATCTTTCAAGCCTTGTCAGATGGGTCTGACAGGCTAAGAAGAAAATTAAGTCCTTCTTGAAAAAAAAAAGCTTTGCACTGGAGATTCCACAATGACAGCTAGAAATATGGACTGAAGGAGATGGAATGACCCATATGCTTCATTTTGCAATCACTAATGGAGAAGCATCATTGTGAAGCAATTTCCCCACCCGAAAAGTGGGAAAATGTTCATCCATCTTTCAAGCTTTGTCAGATGGAAGAAGAAAATTAAGTTGCCCTTCTTGAAAAAAAGCTTTGCGCTGGAGATTCCACAATGATAGCTAGAAATATGGACTGAAGGAGATGGAATGACCCATAACATAACGTGGGAAGACTTTGGAATAGTAATAAGAATAAAGAATAATAATGTGCTGTCAAGTAAGATACAGTCCAACGTATGATGACCCTTTCCAGGGTCTTCTATCTATAGAGCATTTAGGCAACTTGGGGACTTTATATTCTATATTTCCCTGGAGGTTGTAGGCCAAGAAAATAACTTCCACAAGTTCTGTAAAATGGCCTGACTGATCGGGTGAGCTTTGGCTACTTTTATAAATGCTGCTTGAACAGCCCATGTGTACTGGAGATGAGCCCTCTGGGTGTCAGTACAGAGTGTATCCCAGCCTCTGACATTGGTGGTGTCCTCTGGATGTCTTAGACTACAATTTCCATCAGCAAGCCAGTGCAGATACTAGCCACGCTGGCTGGAGATGATGGGGATTATAATGGGGCTGCCTGAGAACGCAACATGCCCTGATGTTTGGTAAGGTAAAGGTTCCCCTTGACATTTAGTCCAGTCGTGTCCGACTCTAGGGCGCAGTGCTCATCCCCGTCTCCAAGCCGTAGAGCCAGCGTTTGTCCGTAGACCATTGCCGTGGTCCCGTGGCCAGCGCGACTAGACACGGAACGCCGTGACCTTCCCACCGTGGTCTTTGGTACTGAAGATAATTAGTTGACTTGAGATCCTCTTACAAAGAAAAGACCTGTGTGCCTTCAGTAAATGACACGTAGAGGCGGCAAGGACCAAGATTAAGGCATGTGACGCAGACACAGCCCCAACGAAGAGGGAAAGAACCAGTTTTAGCTGGAGGACTTAGGGAGCGGATGCAGCTGTTTCTTGGACCTGACCGTGTTGCATGGTTTAACCTACTTCTGGCACACAGTGTGCCCAGCTACACAGCCCAGTGACCCATCCACCACATCTTACCATCTCTGGCCCCTGTGTTCAAATGGATCACTCAACACGGAACCACAGGCTAATATTATTCCTGAGCCAAAGACTTCTATAAATCCAATGTAAGACGAACGAGACCAGCAAGTAGAATCTAACGTGATTTGGGCTGCAACGTTTAAAGAATCTGGCTTCCACTCCAGAACGTCAATGATTTGGGCTGCGACATTCCAAGACGATGTAAAAAGAGGGAGGGGCCACCCACATGCTTTGCACCAAAGAATCTGGCTTCCACTCCAGAACGTCACTGCTCCGCAACCCATGGCACGCGCACACGTTGCGCCGCAGTGCATTAAAAAAATTGGAAAAGCCAAGAATGCCAAAACAGATGCCCCCAGCATCTTCTGCAAACAAACCCCGTAAAATCACTGGGGTCCTCTGGTTTTATTGGAAGCATGGCAAGAGAAGAGCATGGCTATCCAACACCCACAGGGAGGGAGAAATTGTTCAGTTGGGTAGAGCAAGGGCGGTTTGACCCAAACCTAGCCAAGGAGATCAGCCCAGACATGAAGGACACAGCCGAGCTGATACAGCAGCCAAGGCAGATTGAGGTGAGCCCCTCCTTGCAATCACTCCCCACTATGACAGCACATGGATCTAGGGTAAACAACCCAAGGATTCAGCCCGGAATCCAGGCAAATCCGTTTTTTTCAGATCATAACTTACCAATTGTCACACCCAACATGTTTTCAGGAAGTGGCCATTTCAGCCTTTTTCAACAACATTAAATAAAAGACAAAAAAATTGTGACACCTTTAAGACTAACCTTTGGTAGTTTTCGAAGCTTCAGCCAAGTTGGTCTATGCAAGTATTTCAGCAAGAAACACACAAAACAAAAGACAGAGAAAAAGACATGGTGGCACCTTAAAGACTAAATGCTATATTTTAATGCAAGGTTTCGTGGAACGTGTTCACTTCGTCAGGCGTAAGAGTCAGAATACAAAGACCACCTGGTAAGTATTCATGCAAGGGTCTAAGACTTTGGATGCATTTCACACCTAATAATTGTTGTAATGGCTTAAGGAAACTTGGCCATTGCCAAATGTGATAATTATACTGTTACCTACTGTTATTTTTCTTCCCAACCAACCGACCCCTCTTTTCAGAGCAAGGCTCAACGGTAAAAACTGTTGTTTCCTTTAATCATGGTTGCTGTTCCAACCAACCGACCCCTCTTTTCAGAACAAGGCTCAAAGGTAAAGGCTGTTGTTTCCTTTAATCACGGTTGCAGTTCAGAGAACCTGGCTTTAAAAGAACTGAATACCGAACAGGGGTCATAAATCATTACTAGGTGCGATTTGCAACCAAACACTCCTGTCCTGGAGATCTCCAAATCTTGGAGATTTGCACGAACGTTTTTAACCCTGTAGTCTCTGTATTCTGATTCTTATGCCTGATGAAGGGGACATATTCCACGAAACCTTATATTATTAAAATATAGCAGTCTTTAAGGTACTATAATATCTTTGGTTTTTCTTCTTCTGTTGCTTTATGTTTCTTGTTGAATTTATTGTGGGGTTGGGTTCTGATCCACAAAAGTTCACGCTGTCCACTGTGAAATGGATTTGAAGGTGCCACAATGATTTTGTGTGTAATTTCTATGTACAGCCGGGATAACCACGGGCTGCCAGCCGTGAGATTTCAGGAAACAGAACCCACAGCAAGAGAGTAACTTCCCTAATATCTAGGCACTCTCTTTAACTATCATACAATCAGTTTCTTGGAAGCCAGCAGTGTCACACCGCGTCGCTGGCATGGCCTGAAGACCCAGAAAATCGACAGCATCATGACCCCATTCTACAAACAGTTATGTGCCCGAAAGAAACAATCATTAGACAAAAATTGTGCAAATTCATCACCTTGTAAAGGTTTGAGAGAAGCTGTGCATTGTAAGTGTAAAAAAACCCCCCGATATCTCTGAAAAAATAGAAATCAAAATGAAAAACACTCGAAAGTTGAGCAAATGGACAGGATACCCAGCGAGTCCGTTTCAGTGCGCTGTTCAGCCTCAGACTGGATCAAACGTCAACCCTGGATGTGACTCCTCAAGAGCAAAACGAAAACACAAAAAGCAACAGTCCGTCTCTTTCCAAATGAACAGAGTTTTTAGCCAAGAATCTACATACAAATGAACATATTCTTTTTTAAAAAAATTAAATAAACTCTTTCCATCAACATTTTCAGCAGCACAAGAGCGCAAACACAGTGTGCTTTTTACAAAGCCCGAAGATGAAACTGTTTAAAGTCAGAGACTGGTAGCAATAGGGGCTGTGGTATTTTTTTTTTTAAAAGAAGCGCTTTGAGAACAAGCATGACTTCTCCACAGGGGTCATCCCCCAAAACGAGTTCTTCTACTGAAGGAAACCCACTGGGCCCCTCTGCACAAGAAAAATCCAAAGCGTTAAATGATGGCGTCAAAGCTGCCCCCAAAAGAGTTCAGGTACTCATCATCTTGGGTGAAGTACTGGTTGTCTGAGAGGCTGATGGGATTCTGGAGCACAGAACCGCTAGAGGATCTTGGTTCGCTGAAGCTATCCAGATAATGGAAAGCCATCATATCGTAGGAAGCAGGCATGGAGCTGAACGAGGAGGTACACGGAGGGGCTGCGGAGGTACCTGGATGGGACACCTGCTGCCTGTGGTCATTTTGATTCGAAACTTGAGCGAAGGACGCCTTTTCCAAGGTGACGCTTTGGCATCTGATATCTTCCACATCCATACGGAGGCTGTTGATCATTGACAGGTTGACAGGGTGCGGCGGCGGCTGGCTGGTGACTGTGCTGGAGGCATTCAGTAGGTCTTGGTGAGACACCGACGGTGACGCCGATGGTAACAGAGATGGCCCTTGTCCGTTGGCTGCGCCAACGAACCCTTCCTTTTGGCCAGGCCAGTTCAGGCCATACTCTTGTCCGAGCGATAGAGAGCCCCCGTTGGTCATGCTCGTCGGGAAAGAATCTCCTGCAAAGTTGCCTTGAGTCGGGAAGATGTTAAAGGAGGGAGCAGAGGAAGGCCAACGTGGTGGAAGGGCGCCATCTTGCTTAACAGCTGCCCTCATCTGTAAAGATGGAATGGAGGATGTGCTGGAGCAGTGGTTGGTCACTGAAGAGGTATAATACGACTGCGTCAGGGGAGTGCTCATGGATGTTCTCTGCATGGGGAGGACCGGTCCAGCAGGTGCATGATACATATTCGGTTCTGTAAAAGAGCGTTAAACACCCCTTAGAAAAAGACTGAATCAATTTACAGGGATTCCTGAATGAGGCTCTGGTCAGCTATCCCAAAGAGGTATTAGTCAACTAAATTAAATTCTAATTTAAAAATTGAATGAATTAAAATGACATTAAATATTAATAATATCTTGTAGTCTTGATTGATTGATTTGCCACACTTTCTCCTTAAAAAGAACACAAGGTTGCTTAAATCGTTTTTAAAAATGACATTTAAAGCTAAAACCAGTAAGTATACAAATACTGTACTAGGAAAGGATCAAACAAAGGACACACTAAAAGACAATAAACAAAGTAACACCAAAAACACATTCAAAGCAGAAAAGCACAATGATCTATTTTAAAACTGCACTCAAGCAGCCAGTCACTGAGGGAAGGCTTGCCTGAAGAGAAAGGTCTTGGCCTGCTTGCAGAAGGACCGCAAAGAGGGAGCCAGGCTGGCCTCCTGTGGCAGGGAGTTCCAAAGTCTGGGAGCAGCCGCAGAGCAGGCCCTCTCTGGTGGCCCTACACAATGCACCCATGAGGGTGGTGGGACTGAAAGAAAAGCCTCTTCTGATAACCTTAGCATTCAAGCAGGTTCATAAGGGAGATACAGTGGTGCCCTGCTTGACAATTACCTCGCTATACAACGCAATTGCTTCAAGACATTTATGCAATCGCTATTGCGATCCCAAAACAATGTTTCAAAGGGCTTTTTTTTTTAATTTGCTTGACGATGATCGGTTCCCTGCTTCGGGAACTGATTTTTCGTTTAATGACTATCAGAAAACAGCTGATCGTTGGGTTTCAAAATGGCCGCCCGCTGTACAAAATGGCTACCCACTGTGTTTAGGAGGGCTTTATCGCTTTACCGGCACCGGAAAATGGCCGCCCTATGGAGAATCTTCGCTGGACGATGAGGTATTTCGCCCATTAGAACACATTAACCGGTTTTTAATGCATTCTAATGGGTTTTTTACTTTCGCTTGACGACGGATTATCGTCGTCAAGTGAGGCACCACTGTATGGTCCTTGGGATAGCTTGGAACCAAGCTATTCTGGGCTTTATAGGTTAAAACCTATGACCAGAACTACTCAGAACCTGTGACCAGAACTACTCAGAACTACTTAAACAACTCGCTTGGCCAACCTCACAAACGAGCTTCTTCTTTTCTTCTTTGAAAGCAAGCAAGCCCTGTTGAGAAAGCACTTCCTTCTTTAACATGTACAGAGAGAACACAGTCGTGGAAAAGATGAGGAAGGACAGGGAGGCAAGAACGCTGAGGGGGGTCCCGAAGGAGAACCTACCTTTCTTAATGACCTTCCGTTCAGTTTCGAACGCCACAGCTTTAGAACTCTCGTGTGGACCTACAAGGAGGGAATAATGGTGAGGCTGGATCAATGGCTGAAACTAGGGACAGGTTGACTGGGGCTAGGATCATGGCCCCTAAACTCCAGAAAGTCAGAACAAAAAAAGCTGTCAATCCTCAGTTAATATTAAAAGCTCTGGCTGACCATGAAAAAGCCAACTTCCAGGATTCCATCAGCTTGACCAAAAGAATGAAGAATGAGTTGACCTTTGGAAGGATGGTGCTAGTATGAATACCTTAACGTTAAATCACTGAAGGAGAATGAAACATTCAAATGACTCTTCGAGATAATCCAACTCTTACTCCTAAGGAATTTGGTAAAGCAACACATAGCACTGGTGGTGATGACCCAGTCAATGGTCAGCATCCTATGGGTGTTTGCCTAAAAAGATCGATGTAACTTGCCACAGCTAATTGTGGCTAATTGTCAAAGTGTCAATGGCATGCAGCTGAGACATTCCATGGCCACCTGTCAATCCACCACAATTAGCCACAGCAATCTATGCAAACGTTATGCAAACATGGACAGGATTCTGCCCAATGAGTCAACACAACCAGCATGAAGGCACCCTGTGATTTACAGATTTACCAAATTCCTGTCATTCTTACCCTGTCCCCGAAAATAAGACCTAACCTGAAAATAAGCCCTAGTATGATTTTTCAGGATGCTCCTAATATAAGCCCTACCCCAAAATAAGCCCTAGTGAAACCCTGCCCTCCACCATTGAGCAGCAGCCAGATGACATGACTGTATTTGAATATATGCAGCTGGCTGTACATGAAAAAAAATAAAACATCCCCTGAGAATAAGCCCGAATACTTTTTTTTCGAGCAAAAATTAATATAAGACCCTGTCTTGTTTTCGAGGAAACACGGCTGTTCATTGAATTATTACCTTAAAATGTACAATCCAAAATGACAAAAAAAATTAACCAGAAGCAAATGAAAAGAGAAGCAAAATGTTCTTCCTTGCTCAAAAAAGAAAAGCATGAGTTCTTAATGATTAAATAGAGAATTTTTAAGAGTTTAATAAATCAGAGACCAGTCAGTTTTGTAGCAAATTACTTCCACAGTGTGAGAATGGGGCTGTGAACACAGAAGCTGGCATGATTGCTAATATTTTTTTTGGGGGGGTGTCACGAGAGGCATTAAAATAAAGTGCATTCTTGTTATGTTTTCATGTAGAATTTATTTTTATTGCAGAGAAAAGAAAGCCGTAACACCTGGAAAAATTTTTGAAGACACAGCAAAACCTGCCCCTTGGCCCTCGGGTGATGCACAGTTTGTCACTCACTGACAAAAAACGAGATTCTCAAGAAATCTTTCTTGTTCCCATTTCTGGACTATGGAGGAAGGGAAAAAGTTGTGGGGAACATCCTTACCACAGTCCTGGAGGAGCCGCTGTAAAGCCATTGGCGATCTCTGTTTTTTGGCCTTATGACCATAAGGATCTTTTTTTAAAAAGAGAGAAACAAGACACAAAGAAGATTAAAAACAGCATTACAATTAACCATTAAGCCACGCACACTCACATACAATCAGAGGAAGAAAAAAAAAGAAGACACATTTTTGAGTTCTGTTTCCTTATTCTTGCAGCAAGCCGGCTTATAAAGTCAGATTAGAATCTGGAAGGAACTTTGTTCCAAATAACAGGTCACTTCCAATTCCCGCATTTTTCCGTGTATAAAAACGACTCTTTTTCCTTAAATAATTAGACAAAAACTGAGGGTTGTTTCATACACAGAAGGCAGTTGCCTTCCCTGCCTTTTGCGAAGCCACTAGGTAAAGGTAAACATTCCCCTTGACATTTAGTCCAGTCGTGTTCGACTCTAGAGCGTGGTGCTCATCCCCGTTTCCAAGCCATAGAGACAGCGTTTGTACGTAGACAGTTTCTGTGGTCACGTGGCCAGCGCGACTAGACACGGAACACCAGTACCTTCCCACCAAGGTGGTACCTATTTCTCGACTCACATTTTTTACACGCTTTCGAACCGCTAGGTTGGTGAGGAGCTGGGACAAAGCAACGGGAGCTCACTCCATCGCATGGATTCGATCTTACGACGGCTGGTCTTCTGACCGTGCAGCACACAAAGGCTTCTGCGGTTTAGCCCACAGTGCCACCACGTCACCACAGGGCTTAGCAAAAAGGAAGGGAAGGCTCCCTTCGGGTAACGCAGCCATAAAAGGGCTGCATGATTGTAGCTGTTTGATCCTGAAGTCTTTTCACTGCTGCTTTACCCACTTCCTAAGCCCCACATGGATCAAATTTGCTAATTTGGGGGTTAGAAAAGGGTTCATCTTATACATCAGGTGGTCTTATAAATGGAAAAAAATATGGTAATTCCTTTCCCCAGTAAAAAAGTTTTAACCACATTACATTGCTTTCAGTCCTGATTGCAACTTTTGGAAGTTGTTTTGTATTTACAAGACTGCGGCCTCAAGAAACAGGGAAGGCAGAATGCCCCCCCCCCCCGGTTGTGCTGCCGTGCTTCATGCCTCTGGCTTGTCTCCTACGGTGTGTGTCGAGACACCCATGAGGTGGACGGGAAGAATATTCATTTAAAATATTTTTACCCCACCTTTCTCCTTAAAAAGGACCCAAAATGGCTTTCATCATTAAAAGGCAATATCTAAAAGCGAAAAACATCAAGTATATAAATCTTACAATAGAATCAAATGGCTTCCACAATTAAAACGGTAAACAAAATCAACACTACAAGCAGATTCAAAGCAGCTATGCACAACCATCTGTTTAACAAAGCCCACTCAAGCAGCCAGTCACAAAGGAAAAGCCTGCCTGAAGAGCAACAGCCTTTTGCCTGCTTGTGGAAGGACAGCAAAGAGGGGGCCAGGCTGGCTTCCAGCGGGAGGGAGTTCCAAAGTCTG